CCTTAAATATGGGACCCCTTCTGAGAAAAAATCTTCAAAAGGCAGCAAAGTAATTTCAATAGATATTCGGTTAATCTTACACCTTACAGGATTTATATTGCACTATAATCTTTATTTAAATGCTTAAAGATGTCCATTCTTCGTTAACACTTCTTGTAAGGTATAATAATTTTTCTGACTTACATCTATTAACAATTATAGTTAAGCTTAATTAACCATTGTATATATTTGCCGCTTTTATTTTTATACTAATACTAGTTTTAGAGAAATCTTGATTTATGTTCACTTAGGTCCCATAAGAAAGATTAATGCAGACGTTTGTCTTGCTTCGTTAAAAAAAATTTATAGTAGTCTTTAATTTTGACTACCTCTGCATTGATCTTTATTTAATTATACTGATACTTCCTTGTGGATATTGATAATATAATTTGCTTTGTTGTGAGCAGTCTTCAGGCAGTTTTAAAAAACCAAGATCAAGTTCTGCTAGAAGTAAAAGAAAAGGATGCAGATGTGGCAATGCCACTGCAATACCTGGGAAACTTACCTGTTGCGGTCAGAGGTGTCCTTGCTATGTAGAAAGTAAACCTTGTGTGGAATGTAGATGTAGAGGTTGCAGAAACCCTCATACAGCAGATGGATTAAAGGTATTATCTTTATTTAATTTAAGCTCATTGTATATCTATTTCTATTATGAAATATCTAATCTTTATGCATTTCAGATCCGTCCACATATACCTGAACTTCATAATTTACAATTACAACTGTCTACTTCCTTGGATTGCGATGCGCTAACTGGAGATCCTCTAGGATCCGTGCCACAATGTCTCTCGACGTCTCCCACAACGATACAAGTGTTAAATGTATATTCTACACCGAGATTAGATATTGATAATGTACCCCAGAACTTACCAGCTGCCTTGTTAGTGGGAGAAGATGCTATGGTAAGTACTGAAAGTGAGGCGGAAGACAGTGATATACAAATTGATGTGTGACATCATATTTAAATAAACATTGTGGAGGACAGCACCAGTGATTGTTTAGTGAACATCTCAACGGAAAACGATATGCATTATGTAAATAGCTCAACTAGAATTATTGATAGACAATTATGAAAATCAAAAGGATATAAATATAAAAAAGGATATAAAGAATTTTATGCAAAGATAAATTACTTTAATGAAATATTATATTGTATATAAAAGAAGAAAGTTTATTAACAGTTTACTACTGGAATATTTATAAATATTTCAGTATGATATGAAAAAAATTATAGAAATTTTATTAAATGCTTAATTATACGTCAATTTTGTCTTAAAAATTAATCGCTATTATGGTTTAACATCTGTTATTTTATATATAGACCAATATTCATAATCCATTCTTGTTTCTAGACCATTTTAAATAATATTTTAAGATGCTAATATTAAATTAATTTATGACATTTTAAATTTGCATTTAATTTTTATTTGCTACATTTAAGACTATCTTAAATGTAAAAATGAATTCTTTTTTCTCTTTCTATATATGTATACCGGCCATAATGCGTTATATACATTAATTTTTCTAAAATTGCATGAATATAATCTGAATATTCTGTTAATTGTATAGTATAAAAGGCAAGTTTTGTAGAACATAAACATTTTATTCTCACATGTTGATTGGCAGTATATTATGATTCTAATAATTTTAATAATTTTCAATCTACAATAAGTATAATAAACCTTAAGCCTTATATTCTAAGTTAAATAATTTCTAGTAAAAATGTTTTATTAACGCTGCCTTAAATTCTATTTTATAGTTGGAATCTGGTCAACTCTTAAAACTTAAAAATTAACTTAAAACAATTCAAGAAACGCTTTTTGATTAAATTACTTAGCTTAGATCATAAGATATAAAGCTTATTATATTATATTATAAATATTATTATACCGGGAGTAACGGATGAACACGTTCTCCATTCATATCCTATGTATATATAATAGTAAAGGCACTTGCTTCGCGGATATATATATATAT